ATTCTATATATTATTCTATATATTATTATAATATATAACTTCAAATCCTTTTTTGAGAACCGATTTACATTTTCCTTTTTTTCAAGTCAAGTTCGGAGTCCTCTCTCAAACGTTCTTCTTGTAGAGCTAACCATTTCTATTGTTTGCTTCGAACTTCTGTTACCTAATCTCTCATCATTTCCTCAATCATCCACACTCTAGTGTTACTTCCTATGATTACATCTTCTGGAGATGACCCCCAGGGATCATCTGTTTTGAAAACAGTCATCGCCAGACTTTAGGGTTTTTTTTACTGCGAGCACTTGAGCTGAACATGATCTAACTAGCGCAACGCATGCTCATTCCTTTTAGATCAGCACATATGCGCATTTGTGAGATGAAAACGGATACGTGTAAGAAAATATCGAAAGCAATACCAGTAAACCAACGACGGTGTGAATCGAATCACCTCCATTTTGATGTGGTCCTGTCTGGCCGTCTCAGAAAGTCTGGCGCGTCCGATTGCATGCGGACGATTGCTGAAAGCAAACAATTAATAGGGGTTATAGGGAGTACTTGCCTGGTAGGTTTCCTCGGCTGGTCAAGAAAACCCTTGATGATGACATAAGATACGGCAACCTAATACTCAACCGTTGCACGCTATCCCTTCACTGAAAGTGTAAAATCCTATAGGTTCCTAATTGCGCATAAAAGAGCAAAAGGGTTGCAGTAGGGCAGGGATAAAACCTGCATAGACATTAGGATCACATAACCTTGGGAAGAGCATTGAAAGGAATACTTATGCAAAACTGAGACTAAGGCCCGCACTTCCTGCTCCGTACATGGTGTTCCATACTTCGAATTGGTTCATCCATCCTGAAGCTCCAACTCGGGAAAAAACTCTTATCTTCATTGCGGTGATTCCAGTTTTGCACAACGAGCTCTATTGCCCCTCCAAGGTCATCACCGTCGAAAAAATGAGTGAAGTTTCAAAAGTGACCCACCCGATCACGCAAAAGTCATAGTCGAGATTGTATTCGAAACATAGCGACACGTTTACAATCACACCAAACGGCAGAATCCAACAGATCTTTCGCCACGCTACCCACGCAAGTGAATTCCATCGTCTCGAACGCTAAACCATATTAATTGTGAAGGATATTCTCGTAAAAAAGAATTCGATCCAGCTTCAAGAACACGGATCTCCTACATGCATTACCAAAAGGTGAATAGGCACTGTTCGACCACTACCACCCAAGAAACTCAAAAAAATTTTCCGCTGAAACTTTGCGTGTAGGGGGTATTCGCTACCCCGATTACGAGTATTACATCCGCTTGGGCGTCGGTAGCACTTGACGCCTTCAAAGGAACGGTCCGCGATGACCTATGGAAAATGCAAGAGGTTATGTGGGAAGGTAGTGCGGTCCGGAGTGGACAACCCTGTGCCAGTTTCGCGGCGGAAAGTTGTACGGTAAAGGAATTAAGGCGCAAAGTTGCTTCAGTGGTACATCCCTTTTTCCAGTGACTCCGCCTCCAGACTCCGCCTCCAAAGTCGGCCTTCCAGCCAAAAGTAATGCTCCCGGGCAAGTATCATGGAGTGGATGCATTCAATGTCTCTTGTAGAGTCATAGGGTTCATTACTGGGAATCAGCCGACGGGAATTGTCCCAGCGCGCGGTCTTTTCGGTCTTTTACCTCTACAGTTGTTTGAGGCTAGAGGAGGCCTGACGAATGCGTTTCCAACGTTCCCTTTGGCATTTTCTCTTCATAGATGGTTCACGTTGGCGAATTTTCTTCCACATTTCTGCAACACCACCTGGGTTTTTATCGCGGGACCGTGCTTTTAACACGCCAATAGGCGCGCGCAAAGTTGCGGCATAAGTTTGCGCGTATATCTGATGTGCTGATTACAAATATACATTCGTTACTGGTGCTGCGGAATAAGCCCCGCCGATCTGGCATCACCCTTTAACCCTCTTCTTTCCGACAAACTCAATAAAAGTTATCCAAGATTAAGTCTGACATCCGATTACGGAAACTGACAATTATTTCTTAGAGGCGAGTGTTAATACGGGTCATACTTCGTTTGTGCATGCTCTCGCTAAAGGCTACAACCAGACGAGTATGGAACCACTACCCTCCCGTGCTCGGCTGTATTGTTAGCAGAGCGTGCATGATGCCGACGCCGAAAAATGATTGTCATATTCGAAATAGGGTCCCTCAATAAACCTCAAATGCGATGCAGCTAATTTGGTGGGAAAAATCGTGGGAAAGGGAAAGTCGTGGGTCGTGGCGCCACAACTGTCACACTGTAATGAGGGTATTAAACACTCAATGTACACGAAGTTTATATCGGTTCTTAAATAGACAGTGGGTAACGCAATTTGTGTCGGCGCAAGGAAGCGGATATTATATTCTTTGGTGAGACCTCGAAAAATCCAGTAAGAAAAATTGAGATCTTGGAGTAGAGTAGATGAATAGTGCCTTGCAAATTATAGCAGAAGAGTTCATTTTCCGCCTATGATAGGTAGAGAAAATTCCGCAGATAGTGTCTCTTGGATCGGCAGTAAAGCCGCTCATTCTGATTCGTTGTGCCCGATGGCTAGGGGTGTGCGGTCACTGCCAACGTTATTGGTGGGCTAGGGACTTTTGACCACACCCCACTAAGCCCTTCCACCAATGACGATGCCGATAACCGGCACTCTAACCCACTACGTGGCCTAGCTAACCTGTAGTGCAATCAGTTTATACGGGGAATTATAGCGACAACTCAACTGGCGACTTCTTAAGACCAGCTATAAAAGTTGTCGTACTGACGCTCCACAGAAATCTCGGAGCAAATGTACACCATCACTGCAGAGTTGCTCCCACTTCGAAGCACACCGTCATAACCGCAGGAAGACCTCTCATGGAACATTGGATTATGGCAGCATCGAAGCGCGTTTTTAGCGAAGCCTTTCTACAGACGCCTGAGTATACTGAAAACTTCTACCGATCCCAAAACGTGTTTTTGCTAAACCTGTACGGGAATCAGTTTGTACGGAACTATACGCGACAACGTCAACTGGGGACTTCTTACACGACGGCAGCCGGCACGCTATAAAGTGTGTCCGTATGACGCTCCAACAGAATTCTCGGAGCAAACTGTGACATCAGGAACACCCTACCACTTGAGGTCGCATCGAAGCACCCGAGCCCCCTTCATAAACCAGGAAGACCTTTCATGGATAACATTGGATTAGGCCACAATCGAAGCTGGTTTGCGAGGCTTTTACGAACTGAGAGTAAGCAAACTTCTACGGAGAAACCCAAAACTCGGTGTTTTTGGCATCAGCGCTGCGCCCAAATACTCCTGAAACTTTCCCATAGGCGGCCATTGTATGAGACTCGAGCCCTTGCGACCGAACGGATAACGTTCGATGAGTAAAACTGTTCTCCAGCAAAGTTTCGCCACATTGAGTTTCTCGAAGTTCCTTGTGTGCCGCCAGCACGCTCACAACCAGCGGGCACAGCGTTCGATGGGGATTCCCTATGGGGGGTCGTATTTGGCCGCCAAAAGGGGGGGGGTCGTATTTGGGCTGGGAAAAATTTATTTTTATAGTTGATTTTTCTCGCTTGCTTGTTTTGGAGGGAGGGGGTCGTATTTGCTCATTGTTGGGAGGGGGGGTCGTATTTCTGTCTAGGAGTTACGTGGTTCACTTCATGAGTTTTATGAATTTTCTGTGTTATAGGTACTATGTACGCCCGTACGATGTACGTCGCATGCTTACTACATACCCAGCTCCACAACTTTTTCGCCGAGTATAAAGCCAACAAACGCCCCGGCACGCGTCAGCCCATGTCAGCGCATCGTAAGCGGCATGGTGGGGGTGGGTGGCCGCGAACCAGCCCTGAAAAAAAAGGGGGGGGGCGCTCGTAAAAGCTCGACGCCAAATCCGCCATCGAATGCTGGCCCTGCTCACAACTCACTTGGAAAAGGCAGGGCAACTCGTCCTTTAATTCTCAATTAAATTTTCAGGTTGACCGACCATAACCCAGAATTTACAAGCTTTCAGCGTTCACCGTACATGCAAGGCTTCTTGTGAACCCATCTCCCAGTTCTTATCTTCAGATTTATCCAGATTCCTAGTCACTTTCCCAACATTGACATGTACGCATTCGACACGCTCTTTTAAATTCTTAAACAATTATCCACTTGATAACAGAACTTTAAAGCTTGTTTATGGCCGTTGTCGCCGCCCAAACGTCAGGGTTATTGAGTAATATAGTAGTGGTAAACATCGGAAGCACTCACCCTGACGTAATTGAGCAATAGTTGCAATCGGAAGGCAATACAAAGGCACAGCGAAGAGATGGCGAAGTGAAAAAGTCCAATAACAACAGGCAAGAAATTGGTGGCAATCCATGTCTGGCCGCGTTGATAATGCTCTGTGAGAATCTTCAGCGGAAATGGTACAATGAAGAATACGAATTGCACGATGGCGATTATTCGTATATACGTGAAACTGCAAAGGAATAAATTAGCATACATATGTTGCATAGAAACAGTTTAATGAAGCTTTCAATAGAGTCAATGATTTCCATTCATTCCCGGCTAAAACCTACACTCGCGGAAAAAAAAAACTTGGAACAAGCTTTGAAAAGGCATTTTCATCTGTTCTAAGCTATCTAATCTCTTCTTATACACCAGTATTAGGGTCAGAAGCTAAGAATATAATGTTATAATACAATAATATCAAAATTTTGGTTAAGCGGAAATAGTGTAGTGGCATGTGCGCTACTTACCGCAAGCGTGGTCTGGGGTTCAAAGCCCGGATTGGCTCCGATCGAATGAATCTGAATCAACCGAGTTTTTCGTGCCTGCGGGGAAAGCTAATTAGTCGAAGAAGATAAAAAGTGACACCTATATTGGCAGCCTTCACCCGCAGGTCTCTCCTCTCCCCCCCCTCCCCCCCCCCCCCCCCTCCAAAGTGCCTCATCGCCTTAATCTTCAAAATTCTGTCTATGCAACGAATTCAGTGAACCAACTCTCTTTTTTAGATTAGCTTCTTTTGAGAGCACTTGATTTGCAAATAACGTTCATGTACAGTTTAGAACATTCAGGTAAATCTTTAAAAAGCGCGTGACTTGGGCTTGTTCCAAGTTTTTTTTCCGCGACTGTATGTCCCACACAGCATGTACTCGATAAATATAGGGTTGGTGCAAGTGTTTTGCTCCCTTACATTTCATTGCATTTCACGCTGTTTTACGCAAGGATTAATGGCCTTCCAGCAAATATTGCAATTACAATCTGTGTATCAAATAATGTGACCACCCATTGTAAAATATCAGAGGAAATCCTGATCTTTTTGCAGTGAGAAATAGTACAGTCTGAAGAACACAAGTTTGTCGAACACTTCAGTTTTGCAACTCCTACCGAAGCTTCACATGTTGTCCTTTCTATACTGATATAACATCACTCCTGAGGGAAGGCTTAGAGCTCTACTTCTCATTTGAAGGCTCCTATCTCAAGAAATTTCTGACGATGATTTACCCTAAATGCTAGATGCAGTCATGATCCATGCAAACGATAGGCATGTGAGGAGGCGTGAGTTGGACCGCAGCCAGATCACCTTTCCATCCAGTCGTTGCAACCTCGAGGAACTAGATGACTATATCATACAGTA